GAAGGGCAGTTGTTCCTTCGGAGATCGCTGTTACTACAAGCATCCTGACGCATCGCATCAACCTCCACCTACGAATCCCAAGACAGATGCTCAGAGGAAGAAAATTCCGTGTCGGAACCACAAGGACAGATGCTCAGGGGAAGAAAATTCCGTGTCGGAACCACAAGAAGGGCACGTGCAAACTTGGGGACAAGTGCCGATATCTTCATGAGGATGCAGCTACAGCCAAAGCAGCAGCCAAAGCCAGTGGAACCCTGATGGGAGTGGAGAAGGGAGCAGCAGCAAAAGCCAAAGCATCAGCCGCAGTTCCCAAGGCCTCGTCGGTGGTGTTGGCAAGTGTATGCAAGATGGCTCGCTCAGATCTTCTAGAGGATGAGAATTCTCCATCGAGCTCCGACTCAGAAATAACTCATATCAGCGAGGCTGGGTCAGATGAATCCACAGCAAGCTATGCGCGAGAGAGCCAGGATGAGTTCTCAGAGGAGGAGTTTCTTGACACAGGTCCTCAGAGAAATCCCTTGTAGAGGCTTCACATGAGGCCGGACGAGTTCTTGGAGTGGCAGAGAGGACAGATCATGTCGGCGCCGAGGGATTTCCAGATGGAAACAGACGGCCTGGACGTAGTGGTGGGGGTAATGGTCAATGTTGCTCGCTTGGACCAAGGACTCCCAGCATATAACATTCCAATTGATGAAGAACAAGAGATAGTGTCGGTGCATGACGTGTTGATCATGTGTGAGGACAATGTTGCAAGGCCCGGAGTCATTGCATGGCTGTTAGATCTTGGCCCCTCGCGAAATGAACTTTTCTTGGCTGCGATTGAGAGCCCTCGTCCTCCGAAAGTACGCCAATCCAGAGCGACAGGATCCCAGCCAGCAGAACACATGAGGCCCCAATCCGGGGATCCTTATTCCGAGGACATTTTGAGAATGAGCATAGTGGAGATCTTGGAGCAGGTAGACTTCAAGGAGGGAGCCGCGTACTTTGATTCTCTGGGTGTTGAGATTGTTCACGATTTGGTGTACTTGGAGGTGGAACATGTCCATGGAATCCCGGAGCTTGCGAGGATCAGACTATTGGAGCTGAGGGGAGCTTTGATGGGAAGTGGTTCTTCGCAAGGGTCACAAGCCAGAAAAGGAGATGGAGACGTGGGGGTGTTGCTAGACTCTGGAGCCAATGAGATAGTCAGAACTGCGCCCGACCCTAAACCCCATAGATCGAGACCATCTCCTCTACAACTTGCTGACGGGCAAAGTGTGCAGGCGTGGAGGACCAGGGAAGGTGAGATATACATCCAGACAGAGTCAGGAAGATCTACCCTGTGCGGCCTGTGCAAGTGGGTAGACATCGGGGCGACCTTCACATGGTCGCCGAAGGGGGCTGCCTTGAAGCTGCCTCCGCAAGTGGGAGATCATTGTGGGTCTCTTTGGGTGTTCGAAATGGGTTGCCCTATTTGCCATGGGAACATTACAGAATTCTAAGGCCCATGTTGACGAGGCAGTGGAAATCGAGATGCTCGCAGGCCACAGTGCAGGTGAACTCAGACTCCGAGCCACTCATAGCGACTCAGGAGGAGAGTCAAATCATCGAATGGGATGAGATGGGAAGGGCAGCTATGGCTCAGGAAGAGGCGGTGGCTCACAGAGCTGTGGACGCCAAAGATGGAGAAGAGTTTGCTAAGGCCCTACGTGGACACTGCCGATGTGGTAGCGAGAGCAAGATTGCCGTGCGCCAGGACTAATAGAATGAACAAGATCCAGAACGCTGGCAAGCAGGTGAACCTATGGGTGTTTGGGCATGGAGTGTTGGCGGTTTGCGAGGAGTAACATCGATCGCCAAGGAGAGACCCTGGCTCACAAAGGTCTTGACGAAATTCATTTCTTCTCAAACATCGGTGCCATTCCTATCATTTGTCGTGTCGCAGGACGTGGTGTTTAAACCACACCAAGATCCGAACGACACTGCCTATGACAATGTGGTAATCGGATTTTCAGAACACAAAGGAGGAGAAGTGTGGATCGAGGCAGACGATGCGTCCAAATTGAAGCCGGAAGAGATTGCTTGGAGAATGGTGAAAGCTGGTGGGGAGCCCCTGGCCGGAACACTTCAGCCTACAAGCGGAGGAAAAGCAGTCATATTCAATGGCCGGAAGTATCACGGCACAGAGCCGTATGAAGGAAGTCGGAAAGTTCTTGTGGCTTATGTTCCTCGAGGCTGGAAAAATCTTGATGAGAAGGACCAAGCGGCCCTCGAGGATTTGGGCTTCAGAGCACCAGTGAAATGCAACACCAGCAGACCGCATGCCGCAAGCAGCAGCAAGCCATACGATGAGCAACGCCACTCCACCGAACAACGACCCGAATGAACCCTTAGTGCACCCTACTTCGACTACTTCTGGGGAAGTTCAGGGATCAGTCCAGGCTTCAGAACAGGAAAGCTTATGCTTGGATGGCGGGGGCCAGGACTATGATATGGGGATTGAGGTTGAGTTCGGGGAAGAAGAGAGTTTATGCCATGCTGCACCAGTGGCGCCCGAGGGAAGACTTGCTTCCGAGGCTTTTGATGACGTGCCGGATCTAGAGCTCCCAGACTCATCTTTTGTGACGCTCGAGAGGGAGACAGAGGACGATGAGGCTGCCAGGCGGAAGACTTTTCAGGAACTGGCGGCACAAGGGCTCCGTCATCCTCATAGACGGGTCAAACCGGCAGACATAGCTTTGGGATCTTTTGCAATTGATATTGCCGGACCTTACAAGGAGAGCTTTGGCGGTTACAAGTATTTTGTAATTGGCATTTTTACTTTCCAAGTTGAGGGTATGGGCTTGGCTTTTGCAGTTCCCGCTACAAACCGGAAAGTGGAAACAATATTGGGGGCTACAGAGATCATCCTTGCTCAACTGTCGGCTATCACTGGGACAAAGGACAGCGTGGTGAGACTACACAGCGACAACGGTCTTGAGCTGGTCACGAGTCGTTTCAATGAGGCAATCAACAAGAAAGGAATTTTTAGAACAACGACGGTGTTACACCCTCATCAAATGGGAGAGCTGAGAGGCAAGTTCAGGCCCTGAAACGAGGAGCGCTTCAATTCTTGATAGAAGGCGGATTGGAGCGAAAATTTTGGCCGTTTTGCATCATGCAGGCTGCAGCTTGCCAGAGAGATATTGCCTTGGGAATGAGGGTTCCAAAGTTGGTTCCTGGGGACACCGTGGCGATTAAACTGGATCATGTTGAGGCCTTTGAACCGCGCGCGGAGCGAGCAGTGTTTTTGTCCCGGAATGCTTCTATGTCGAAAGGGGCGTTTGTGCTGGTGACTCGCAATGGAAGTCACAGATTGATGAGGGTACGGGTGCCTGTGAAGTTGGAAGCCGATGATGAGAAGTGGAGGGTAGCTAGCCTGGATGGAAAGAAGTTCTGGGTGTCATCCAAGGGATCTGTTAAAGAAATGGATTCCGAGACCATCGATGAATTGCCTACCATGGAAGAGCGAGCTCACGGACCTGTGGATGGGGACTTGGTTTTTGGGGCACGCTTAGGCGAAGGAGCCGTGGTGGCAAAAGTGGCGCTATCTAATGAGCCGAAGTCATGCGACAAGTATCACGTGGAGACCTTTGAGGAGGAGGCTGATGCAGAAGAACAAGAAAGGATTTTAAATGTTTTGGCTAAGCAAAAGGCTGGAGCTGAAACAGTCAGCGCCAAGGTGTTCACAACTGGGTCGGAGGAGGCACAACATCGTTGGTTCTTAGCTGCTCAGAAGGAGGTGGCTTCGATGGAGGAGATGGAAGTATGGGATGAGCTCCCGGAAAATCCTTTGGAGCTGCGTGAGCACTTAGGATTGAAGCAGACAGACGAAATCCCCGCGATCCTGCCGATGTCTCTGGTGTGTACGGAGAAGCCGGTGCTGATGCAGCAGGACAAGCATGTGTTACAACAAGGCGCAGCCGTCGCAGCTGAACAGGCGTCTGTAGCGATTCTGGAGAGAGTCAGGCTGGTGGTGTGTGGCAACTATGAAGACACATCTGGCATAGATACATCTGCTTACGCGTCGTCGAATGTGGATGTGAACTGCTTGAGGGTGATGTGTTCGGAGTTGGCCAATCATCAAGATTGGGAGGGAATGGGATTCGATGTGAGTCATGCGTTCCTATACTCGGATCTTAAATCCAAAAACACCATCTTAATGCGACCTCCGAAGATTCTTCAAACGCTGGGGCTGATCAAGCGGGGACGGCTTCTTCGTGCGAAAAAGGGCATTTACGGACTTAGGTCGAGTCCTGTGTCTTGGGAGTTGGAACGAGACGTCCTGAGTGAAGCCACGTTACCGCCGCTAGCAGAAGACGATTTGCCTGGCTTGAAGGTCAATTTGTTGCTCATGGGTGGCGCACACGCCATTTCGCCCTTAGGGCGTCATGGTTGAGAGACATGACGGCTACAAGAGACATCTTGGTGGAGCACGCCCCTGGAGCAGGTTTGGTGGCAGATCTCTTGACGAAGTCTATTCCAAAGTGTCGTTTACAAATCTTGAGGCCGATGATGGGATTGATAGACACAAGCATATGATTATGAACCTGGCGGAGACTGGGACAGGGAAAGATGGCGAGGCAAACGCAGCCTGACCCTTCGAGCATATTCGTGGGAAGCGTGGAATTGTCCTCAATTAAGGCTTTTGATAAGTCCTCTGCCGAAGGAATAGTCCAGCAGGGGCGACGCGCATGTTTTTGATGTGCAATCCGAGTCATTATTCGTTGGTTCCTACTACCCCTTCTACCAACCCTCAAGCTCATAACCTCCCAGAAAATGCACAAAGGCCCCAAGCGAAAGCAAAACGCGTCTCCAATTGCCACATCAATTCAAGAGACAGGCGCTCGGCTTCCAGCGCTGCTACGGCTCGGATTCGCCGATCCATCTGAGTGCGGACACGATTCTTGCAGATGTCGCGCAGATTTCGCTGAGATGTCGCAGAAAAAGCCCACCTTATCCGCTTTCCATCCATCCATTCGCCGTTGCGCTTCTCCTGCTTTGGCGCTGAAGACCTAGGAATGTCTAGGAGTGGTGCCGTTCCAGTGACCGACAGCACTTTCACGAGTTCATGGCCAGCCGATACCATGCTGCTTGCCATTCCGCCACTGGCCATCGTACCTGGCATTGGAAGAATTACGGAACTACACGCCTCGTTAGAAAAAAAACGCTGCCCTGTGGCCCTGGCTCTCGGCCATCTGGCCATTTGAAGATGCCGTAGCCATGCTGCGAGCAGAAATATACGCTGAGCAAACAAGGAACAAGCAAGCTGCAGGGCAGGCCTTGATGTCGTGAACGTACTCTCCCTCGTAGTGCCGCCCATCCGGCCTCGGAGCATCCGACGCAGCATATGCGGCTTTCTAGCAAGCAACGCATTGAAAAGCCCGCTGACCAGCCGAACTTGCCATGGCCATGCATCCGGTTGCCTCAAGACTCACAGAGGATACTCACAGGGACGTGACTTGCAGCTTGCAAAGCATCTGCCATCTCCATGGCCTTCCCACTGTCCCTCGTACTTGCGACCGTCACCCCAGGAGTAAATACCCGAGCCGTGGATGTCGTTGTTCAAGAACTGACGAAGAGCGACCAACTGAGAGCATTGCGAGAGGTGCACTGAAAGCACATAAATGTTGATGCCTCTTTGTGCCTCCTTTGTGCCTCTTCCTCTGACTCTTGTTAACTCCTCCCTCTTCATCTCTTCGCTCATCTCTTAGCTCTACGCTTCCCTCGCACCTCGCCATCGTAGGAGGAGCCATCGGCCCAGGTGAAACTGGGTGCAACGAAGCCATGACGGACATTATTTGAAGTAGCCTCGATAAGCCCAGGACTATCCTTTTCCATGTTTTTTACCCGCTTGGTACCTCAGCGACAGCCAGGTCTCAGATTCACAGTATCACCTGCGTTCGTGTCTGTGCCGGTGTCAACCAGCATCTCTCAGTGTATCACGTTCCCTCATAGCGGGCACCTGGGCACAGCGGCATAGCAGGCAGTGCGCTGAGCAATCCTTGCGGATTGAATGGAATGCAAGGTCTGGCATTGATCGGAAGCAGGAAAGTCTGAAGTGGGCACCGTCCACCCAGTGCTCCTCTCAACACATTCGCAAATGGCTTCCAAACGTTGCTGGCACATGCTGGCAAATGCTGGCACATGCTGGCAAGTGCTGGCAAATGCTGGCAAACAACAGCGCGTGCAACACCGCCAGCCCCCGTCCACGCCGTGACCATGCTGGCGGTCGTACTCCCACTGGCCCTCGTACTTGGACCTCCGAGGAAAACACGGAACACCAAAAACCATGCTGCTCTGCACAAACTGGGTCGTCGGCCCATCCGCATGGCTGTAGGTCCCTTGCCTGAAAGGGCTTGAATGGGTTCATGGCCATCCTCGAGAAGTGATGCAAGTCGGCAATGGCTCTGCGGGGTTATTTTCTGTGCTTCCTGCCCGTGGGCGGTGTCTCCAAACCACTCCCCCTCGTAGACGTCGCCATCTGCATGAACGAACCTTGGATCGACCACAGCTGTCGCGGCATTGAAACAGAATGCATAAGCTGACAGGGAAACTCCAGGCAAGCACTGGAATTGCAAACTAACAAAAACCCTCATATGCAAACTTCACTTAAAATCACGCCATTGACAAGGCTGTGGCCGACCCCAGCCATGCGCCTTATCGGCCTTCCATTGCCCTGCAGATTCTGATAAATTCACGTGAGACGAAACAATCATTGTGGCTTTTGTGGCTTTTGTGGCTTTTGTGGCTTTTGGCACCTTCATAACGAGCCCCGTCTGGCCACACCTGGTGGATGTCACGAGCACCATTTGAGGGATTCATGGAGCGCTGGAACCTGGACGCCATACCCTTCTCGATGCTCTCCCATCCAGCTGCCAGTATAGGCCGCGCCATGGTCATAGATGTGAGTTGGCCTCCAGACCGCAGAAAGAGAACTTGGGGGGACTCGCCCCAAGTCTCGAGTCTCGGCATGCTTGGCCTCTGTTCACCAGAAGACTTGTCTTGAGGGAAAGCCAAGGAGAGCGGCATGCCCACATCCTTCACAGCCTTATTGGAGATCAATGTCTTGAGAGTTGCGTCCAGGAGGGAGACCTACTGAGCCACACGCTGAATCACAGTCGCCGACGACTCTGCCATCTGCATCCTGACCTGATCACGTTGCAACATCCGCCGTCACCCGGCGAAGAACTACATGATTTACCAATCTGAGCATCCCTGCAGCAGCCAGTGTTGCCTGAGGCTTCAAGAGGCAAGCCAAGCAGAGATGCGCTATGCGGGAGCCAAGTTGCAGGAAGCCCCCATGGCCAAAGACTTCGCAAGAGCGGTGCTGAGCCAAGGATCACGATTGGAACGTTGTTCAAGCGCTGGGTGATTGGGCCTAACACAAAGCGCAACACTTTCAAAAATTATGCCGGCGAAGACCCCAAACAGTAAGATTGTAGATGAAGGGAAAGCGGCATGAAACAACAACGCGACGCGTGAAACTCGGCAGGCCGAGTTTACAATCAGAAAAACTGGGCTCAGTATGGAGGCGGTCGGAACAACCCTTTCCCAATCCAAACGAGGGATTGACATGGATGTCCAAGCGCTGCCCACATGCATTTTGCCAGGCCTGAAAAATGCATTTGGTCTTTCTTTCTACCTTTGCAACGCCATGCTCTCTCTTTCTGTACTTCTTCAAAGGCGAAAACAGCTGAGTGCATTTAGGCACGCGCGAAAAACGCAGTTTCCTTATTCGTCTCTTCTGCACGCAGCTTGTCTTTACGACGAAGGATCAGCTCTTAACTCAATTCTATTGCGGTTGTGGAAGGAGCAAGCTACGCGAATGCATTTTGCCCACTTAAAGAATGCACCTGAGCATGTTCTTCCTGATTCTGGGTCTGTTTCGGTACTCCTGCAAGATGCCGAACATTGTTCTAAACGCGTTTTTCAATTCCTATAGCTACTTTTATGCACAGAAAACACATCAGAAGAATCGAATACGTCATGAGCCAGCAGAAACCAAGACTAAACATGATAGGAAACCAGTGCCAAATGCATTCTTCGGGCGATGAAAAATGCATTTGGAATGCCCTAGACATGCATGTCGGGTAGATGTTGGTCGTAAAACACCAACCTACTTTTTTGTTTTGTTTTCGTTTGCTTTTCATGCTGTGATGGAGCAAAGATAACCCAATAGACATGGATGACCAGACGCTGCCGAATGCGTTTTGCCAGGCCTGAAACACGCATTTGGTCTTGCTTTCCACATGTGCAATGCCGCGTGCTCTTTTCGCACTTTTTCAAAGCGAAAACCGCTGAATGCATTTGGGCACGGGCGAAAAATGCATTCGGACTTTGGTTTCTTCCTTACGGGGCCTCTGTCTTTGACACAAAAGTCAGTTATCAAGTGAGTCTTTTTTTGTGGTTTTGGAAGGAGCAAACTGCGCGAATGCATTTTGCCTGCTTTGCAAAATGCATCTGGGCATGTTGCTTCTGATTTTGGGCCCTTTTCGGGAGTTTTGCAAAACGGTGATTATGGTTCTACACGCGTTCAAATCCTATATATAGATGTTCTTATGCGCAGATAGACATCAAATGTCGAAGAAGTCATGAGCCGGCAGAACCCAAGATTGCAACATGATAGGAAACCAGTGCCAAATGCGTTTTTCGGGCGACGAAAAATGCATGTAGAATGCCCTCAGATGCATGTCGGGCAAACGTTGGTCGCAACACACCAACCGACTTTTTTGTTTTGTGTTTGCTTGTTTTGATGCTGTAATGGGACAACAACCCAATAGACATGGCTGTCCAAGCGCTGCCCGAATGCATTTTGCCAGGCCTAAAAAAAGCATTTGGTCTTGCTTTCCACATTTGCAGAGCCTTCTTCTGTACGCAGCCTCCGTCTTTACGACAAAAGATCAGCTTTTAACTCAAGTCGATTGTGGGTTGTGGAAGGAGCAAGCTGCGCGAATGCAACTTGCCCGCTTTGAAAAGTTGTCTAGCATGTTCTTTCTGATTCTGGGTCCACCCTGCCTCCGCCCCCTCAACCCCTGCCATGCCACGTCACACCCCATTCACTTGTGATCAGAGACCATCGGAGACCACGGACCCAAGCGCGTGACACCCCCGCAATCCCTGTCGCTCGCCACGACCCGAACCGCGCGGCCCCATTCGACCACGGACCGGACCGCGTGACACCCGCCAGCCCATGATCAGAGACTGACCACGGACCCAAGCGCATTCCCAAACTGTCACTGCTCAGCTTCTGCAAGAACAAAACACAAACGAACGATACGAGACGTGACGAAACGAACGTGGAGTCACTCTCGTCACAAAACTCGGCCTACACTCAAAAGCAGAAAACTTCCTACAGGGGAGGCCCTCGCACGCGAAGCCAGACTTGTTGAGATTTCTCGGCCCCAGTTTGGAGTCGCGCAAACTGGCAACTTTTGCAAACATGTGTACGCGACATTGCAAGGCCTCAGGCCTTCTGAGGCGTCATGGGGCTTCGAAGCCTTCCGAGGCCTTCCGAGGCATTCCGAGGCCTCCCGAGGCCTCACTTTCAAGGCCTCGGCCTCGCAAGGCCTCGCCCAAAACCCCTTTAGCTTGCAAGATTACGAGGCCTCGGGGACCCGGGCTTATAATGCTATTAAAGGGGTCCCCGCAAGGCCCCTGGCTGCCTTTCTTCTTTCATGTGAAAAGAATTTTAAGCCGCAGCTGGCTCCAAGTCCTCTTCATTCTCACTCTATTCAAAACATCACGACGGACCTCGAAGGGGCCTCGACCGCTGAAGATGATCCTGCAAAAGCTATTCTTGCTGCCGCAAGTTTTAATTTCAGACTTCTCGACGGGCCTCAAATAAGGCCTCGATGATCGAGCTTTCAAAGATTTGGACGGGCGTGAGAAAGTCCTGAGAAGCCCTGTGCGTGACATTGCAAGCTGATGTTGGTCTCCAGCGGGCAAGCAAACAAAATCGCGCCCTGTTCAACTGGAGGAGGCCTCGGACCGGCCTCGAGAGGCTTGGAAGCCTTCAGCAAAGTCTGAGGCTCGAAGATGATGTTGCGTGTACGCCAAGTGAACGCTCCCAACCATTTAAACCTCAACATGCACTTCAATGGTGAAGACGAACTAACTGACGTTCACAAGGCTTTCACTGGCATCGGCCTTTCCCTATATCTTCTTCTTCATTGGGCGCATGGCAACTTAAGCGACGGCGCAACACGCTTTTCAGGCTTAAATACTTCCGTCCAATTCCGTCCAAAACCCAAGCCCGCCAAAGTTCTGACTCTGCACTCTGCGCAACCACAGAAGACGTTGACACGTTGGTCAACTTCCCAGAGCTTGAAGCGTGACTCCTTTCCACAGGAAAAACCAACAGACCTGCAGCTCAGCGGGGCTGTCGGGCGACCCCACTTTCAGGCCTGCAAAACACAAGCAATTCTGGCTTCGTCAGGATGGGCTCCAGTTGCAGTTCTGCCTCACTGCAAGTTTACAAAGACGCGCACGCAGCTGCCTCGGACAAGCCCCGTGCGCTTAGGATGACGCTGTCTGGAGCAAGGGCAGGGGCGCAGCCAACAATCGGATTCGTGCAAAAAGGGCAAAAAACGGGCCGTCTCGCGGCCCCAAAAATGGAGCCGCGAAATGGACCCAGTTCCTGCCGCGAATTCTTCTATTTTTAGGCTCATCTCATCTTGCGCTTTCCACTCGGGGCGCACAGACCAAGCGCTCAAAGCGGAAACCTGAGAACCACGACCTCCGCAGGTCCGCAGGCAGCTTTCTGGTGGAAGAGATCAACATGAGAGAAACGTGCACAGGGAAGGCCCTCGCTTGTTGAGATTTTTGCGACCCCAATTTGGAGTCGCGCAAACTGGCAACTGTTGCAAACATGTGTACGCGACATTGCAAGGTCTTAGGCCTTCTGAGGCCTCCGAACCCTCAGTCATGGGTTTCGAAGCCTTCCGAGGCCTTCCGAGGCCTCACTCATGGGGTTTCGAACTCAGGGGCTATCGATGCAGCTCACCCTGATGTAGAACCGGGACGCCCATGCCCAAAAGGGCAGGGACTGTGAAGAATGTGAGGTTTTCCAGATGCACCCACGCCTACTGGCAGGGAAATGACCCCGTCCGTCCTCAGTGGCGGTACTCTCCAACCTTGCAGGGCTTTTGGTTCCCCCAACTCAAGCATTGTGCTGGGGCTTTGAAAGCCCCTAGGCTTCGGACGCCCAGCATCAAGGGTTTTTGGTTGACCCTCAACCCTGCACTCCGCCGACGCCATCACCCTCCATGGCTCATGGCACAAGCTCGTTCTCCCAACAAGCACTGCATGACCTAACCCTAGTTGGGGAGAGGAGTCCAACCCTAATCCTATGTCCCAAAAGGGAGGGGCTTAGGGTACAACCACTCGCTCTCCTGTTTTCAGCGGTGCTGCTCTGGGCGAAAGAGTGGAATGCTTCGTGGGAAAGGCTGGGCAGGATCCCACGAGCATGTAAGGCCATCACACCCCGGACCGGGGCTGCGGCTTCTCCACTTTGGGAGGCAAGTGGGCATTTCTGAGGGGCTACTCGGCGCGCATCAAAATGACGTCAAGGCTATCCGCGGCTGGGTCGCCCGCGAAGAAGGAATCGATCTCCTGGGCATGGAGATCGTCAAGAGGTGTCACCAGGTCTGGCGAGTAATCCCGCTTGGAACGACGACGCTCTGCCAGGCGTTGCTGAACGTCGCTCGTCGGCGGCCCGAGGGCCCGCTCGCGCGGAGCGGCCTCCCGCGGAGGTCCATGCTCGGCCTCCTCCGTGGGCTCGCTCTTGGGCGTGGACCCTCCACCGCTACTCTCTGGAGCGGGATCCAGCTCGGGGTCATCGCGAAGCCACCCCGATGGATGACTACCACCATAAATGTGGTGCGATCCGTCCTCAA